GTTTTTCATGAAACACATAATTAAAAAATTCTCTGCACTGAAAATGAAGATGTATGCTACTTGAAATGAATATACACGTTTATCTTATCCCCCCAACAATGCTGGATAAAGTAAGAGTTCACCACAAACTCGTGTCTGCAATTTCCTTAGTGATATCCCTCAAAGGGCTTCAGCCTCTAAGGGTGTGAGCATGTAAAAGAAAACCCCCCTGCTCCCAGAGGGGACAACGTAAAACCACAGAGCTCAGGTGGAATCAGCAGGAAGGCTCTGTTGCTGGCATTTTTCAGGGACGCCCTCCAAATACCCACTGCACTCCCACCCTGTTTCCTCCTCCTCATCTCTCTCATATGTCAATGCCATTCCTAAACTTCCACAGAAAAGCAGGCTCGGGGGCAACACGAATTGGAAAACAACCGGTTGAGATTGCTGTTGTTCACGTCTGTTGAGCGGTTCCCAACTTACTGTACCCATGGAAGGGCAGAGAGATATGAGGAGCCTTCAGAAAGTTCACGGAACACTACAACTGATAGCAGTCATGATTGTACAACTCTTCATATGACTGAAGACTCAGTTGTAGGCTATGTGAATTCCTTGCCAGTAAAGCTATGAATATAAAGAGTTCAGGGAACGGTTCATGATCTTTTAGCTCAATTCTCCCATGAACATTTCGAAGGCCTTCTGACATGCACTGCCCTTACTTTTCCACAGCAACTTGTTGTAAGTGCCTGTTTGTTCAGGAGTAGGAGGCTTGTCTTCTCCAACACTTGCAGAATTGTTTTTCTATTCTAGTCATTTTATATAGTGACGTTTTAAACTACTAGAAAGCATTAGGAATCGGTCAGAACCGGGAGGTTAATTTGCTTACCTACTGTCCCCAGCATTGGCCACATACAGTTTCCCCAGGAGGCAGATGACAACGAGGGCCGTGCAGCCACCGGATATATTGTAGGAGCTCCTCTCGTGTGCTATCTGTAGGTCCTGAAGGAGAAAGCAGAGTCGCACTGAGCGCCCAGGCACTTGTCTCAAAAGCTCCCTTAGCGTTGCTTTCTGGACGCAGCCCCGTCTCAATGGGTTTCAAAGCAGGGGGCTCCCTTGGTTTCCACCCCCTACTGAACACTGCCTAGAGAGGGCAAAGGCCTATATGCTGCCATGTACTAGAGCACCCGAAGACCAGGCACAGGGCAGGAAGGGTGGCAGACAAATACAGTAAGACCAAGATACACAAATGAAGCACCATTCCTTTTCAGTATCACAGCCCAGGGAGTGCTCCCCTTCATGCAGCAATAACTTCAGTTTAAAATCAGGAACAGTGCACGTCAGGGTTGTGTCCTCTCCGCCTATTTCCTCAACCCATATGCAGAGTGAAATTAAGACGCTGAGTTATATGAAGAAGAATGAAGCATTAGGATTGGAGGAAGGCTTATTAACCACCTGCAATATGCTGATGACATAAATTTGCGGAAAATGAGGAGGACTTGAAGCACTTCCTGATGAAGATCCGAGTTTGTAGCCTTCAGTGTGGATTACAATTCAATGGAAAGAAGACCCAAATCCCCACAACTGGACCAAGAGGTAACATCATGACAAACAGAGGAAAGTGGATCCACAATTCATGCTGATGGCTGCGGCAGCCAAGAGATCAAAGGCCCCGTCACGTTGGATAACTTTGCTGCACAGGACCTCTTTAAGGAGTGGAAGAGGAGGAACGTTACTTTGAGGATGAAGACCCAAAGCGATGGTGTTTTCATCACCTCATCTGCATGGGAAAGTTGGACACTGAACAAGGAGACTGCAGAAGAACGGATGCATTGAACGATTGTGCTGACAAAAAATACTGAAGTACACGGGCTGGCAAAAGAACAAACACAAGACCAAGTCTGTCTTGGAAGATGGACAGCCAGAGTGCTCCTTAGAGGCAAGGATGGTGAAACTTGGTATCACCTACTGTGGACATGCTGTCAGGAGCGACCAGTCCCTGGAAAAGGCCATCGTGCTTGGTAAAATGGTAGGGCAGCAACAAAGTGGAAGCCCTTGACAAGATGGATTGACATAGTTAGTGGCTGTAACCACGGGCTCAAACATAGCAGTGTGAGGATGGCGTGGGGTGGGGCAGCGTTTCCTTCTGTCATTTAGAGTTGGCATGACTCAATGGCACCAGACAATAACGACAACATGCAAGAGACGCAGGTTTGATTCCCAGGCAGTGCGCTTCATGTACGGCCAACATCTGCCAGTTGAGGCTTGGGCGCTGCAAGGATGCTGAACAGTTTTCAGGGTAGCTTCCAGACTAACACAGACTCAGAAGGTCTGATGGTTCCTTTCTGAAGATCAGTGCAAACTCCGTGGATGCCAACAGCACAATCTACAACCAGTCTGGGATATCAAAGGGCTGACCAGCATTTTACTGCTCACACGGTCGCCAGGAGCCGGAGGCTGACCTGACTCCAACACCCATGAGGGAGTTAGTCCCCCAGGGACCTGCTTCCACTGCCAGGTGTGATGTGACAGAGAGGCTGAGCGTGTGACTCCTTGGGTCTGCTCTGTGCTTTGAACCCCACACCTTCCATTAGATAGCTCCTTACACCACAAGTAAGGAAGGAGATGCTAAGAACCGTATTCTTCTATTCCACAGGCAGGAGTCAGCCTTCTGATGCGTTGATAAATGAAAAATAGCCCCTACTCTCGTGTGATTTATTTTTCTCTTCCACAGCTACTCATTCAAAAGGGCAACACATTCCTAACAACCAAAGTCAACAATCATTGGCGGCTCCCTCTGTGTCAGGTAGTGGGCTAAGCAGCTTCCATACCGAATCTCATCCCCCTCACAGCCGTCTTTGTGACCCTCATTTTACAGAGGCTTAAACTAGCGGTAATAGGCCCAGAGTGACCAGGCTTGAGTTTGGACTCTCGTCCCTTCCCTTCCCTCCAGAGTGCTGTTGCTATGTGTCACCGAATGCCGCTTCCTCCAGAAGAGCAACGGGCTGACACTTCCACTGAGGGACATCCAACATCCCTTAGACACATCTTTGGGACCCTCTCGTGACCTCAGAAAACGAGGCTACGGAATATTAGCTAAATTAATGCCAGACTCCCCAGGAGTAGTCTAGTACTCTTGGGGAAGAAAAAGGGGGCACGAGGGTTGGAAAATGTTTCAAGAAGAGGAAAAATCGGTGCCCTGGCTTATTCAAGGGCACTGCTAGGGAGGCCTGGTGAAGTAGTGGGTCACGCATTGGGCTGACAACCGAAAGGTTGGTAGTTTGAAACCCCCAGCTGCTCCCCAGGAGAAAGATGAAGTTGTCGACTTCTGCAAAGATGTATACTCAGAAACCCAAGGCCAGTTCTACCTGGCCTCCAGGGTCACGGTGAGTCGGAGTCACCTGGCGGCAGTGAAGGTTTGCTGGGTGAACCCAGGGCAAGAGACCAGGGAACAGACGAGCTCAGCTGCTTCAGTGGGATTCTTCATGGGACCCCTCACTGACTCCTCATTGAAACAGGGGCCACTGTGCTCTCTGGCCAGAGCCAGCTCCACAAAGACAGGTCAATCACCGTCTGGTGACTGGAGAGAGAGAGAACCACCTGCGCTGGGCAGACAGACTGCTTTGAGGCTGTCTGTCGGGTGGAAAGCAGAGGAAATGTTCAAAGACCCCCAACATACTGGGCTGAACTGTGCGAGGGCACTGGGGGCTGCAGGCAGAGCAGTCTGGGAGTGACGGGGGATGGGTAGGGACGTGTGTGATGTGGGGACACGGTCGTTTAGGACCACATGAGGAAACCTTTCAAGGAGGGCGGGGCTAACCACATCAAAGCTGCGGCAAGGTCACGCCCGAGGACTTCATCCAAAGGACTTCTACTGGGTTTTTACAATTTACTTAAACTGTCTACGTTCGTGGAGAGGACTGTCATGAGGATTGAATTAGAAGCGGGGTCTGTGGGGCTCAGCCGGGCATCTGGTTCCTCCCCACAGCCTGGATGCTCCCACAGAGAGCTCGCTGCTCACGGCTGGGCCCTCCATACCGGACCCCGGGACTGGGCAAGGGTCTTTCGATCAATGTCTTTGCACCGGACACATGAATATACACATCTCAATGTGCCAGGTTTCCAAATCACCTCCTTACCACACTGCCTGTGCCTGAGTGTGAACCATGTATTCCACAAAGCACAAACGAAAAGGTAACAAAGCAAAGGCTGACTCCTGAGATCATAACTAAGCAACAACCCACATCGGCTAACACACAACAAAGGGACAAGAATACATGAACCCACGTTCTCGAGGTGAGGGAGGGAGGGAAGGAGGGAGGGGCATGGATGCTGGAGGTGATGGCAGTCCCAGGGAGGGGAAAGACAGGGGAAAGATGTTGGAAATTGTTTGTTGAAATCTTCAAAGCAGGCATTGAGACAGAACCAAGAACCCTACTCACGAAAGAGCTCTCACTGGAGGGGATTTGCCTTTTGCCTTCTTTTGTTTATGTGCACTTAAACGATTAATAAAGAGTTGACATGGCAGTAGCTTCATATTTTATTCAACTGATCTATACATGACCACGTAGAAGGAATGCTTGAGCTACAGTAAACAGAATGGCCATTTGTTGGACTACCTAGGGTCTGAACGCGAGGCAGTTTTTATTAAAAATTCCCTGAGCATGCCACCCCTAGATCCTGTATGCAGCCTGGAATGTGAAGGCTGTGGACAGACTTAATCAGGTCATTTGGTGAAAGGGGAAATGCTATGGCACACAAAGTCCTTAGGAAAGAATTCCTGTGGGACTCACACAAGTTCACTCCACATCGTAGGTGGTCGTGTTCCTCAAGGACTACATTATCCAAGCTATCTGATCACAGAACTATGTAATTCTTTAAAAACAGGAAAGCGAGCAGAACCTTCAACCCGGAGACTTCTTGCTACAGCCAGAGTTCATATTTGCCCTTAATTATTTGGCAAACATTCCGGTTAGCTTACCCAGTTAATCCCTTGCTATTAGATTAGAAGTGTAATTCAATAGTTTTTTCCTAATTGATTTCATTGTGTCTTTAATCTTTTTCTACCTTTCAACTACATTCCTTCCGTAGCTCCTGCCCCGCCCCACCCCCAAGATGGAATGTGAAATTTGGCTGCGTTTTCACATACGTAGTGAATTAAAAATCTAACTCCTTTCTAGTCAAGACATTTTGCTAAAATGTGTCTGCTCTCATCTCCTTGACTGTTATTTATGTAAGACTCCACACAGGGACACACGCAGTGGTGTTCACCCACACGCCAGTGCCCACGTGTGCACAGATACGTACACACACACACACACACACACACACACACACACCTTAATTACATGTGTGCTGGCAGGAATCCCAGTGACAAGGATTTGAAAGAAGCACCTTTTATAGATTTCAGCTCTTGAAGGATTCACTGACATTAAAAGACACTCTTCTATTTCTTCTAAAATTGGAGGCGAGTGGAACATATTCTAAAAATAATTGCTTCCCTCCTAACCCTCCCTAGAAGCCAAAATAGCACACTGATTTTTCCTATACCACCTACTCTGCCTCGAAAGATGCGTCCCCAAATCTGAGAGCCAGAAAGGGCAGTGAAAGGGCCTTCGGGACTCCTCTTTTACAATCAGATCAAACAAAAGAGGTCAATAAAGATAGATTTACCGGTGTGGCAACGACCTGTTTACTCAAACCCTCCTGCAATTAGTTTAAGCTTTCTACGGTCTAGGATCAAAGAAATAAACATATGTAAAACTAGCAGAAAAACCAAACCAAAAAACCCCTCTAAAGCTCAGGGAGGTCTTCAGAAAGCAGTGAAACCGCGGCCAACGCTGCCCACTGCTCTGTCCTCTTACGCAAGAACCGATTTTGAACAGGTCCTGTGCTCCACCTGCCAAGGACTGTCGATCCCAAGGCACAAGCCCAGCAAAACCCATGCACATATCAAGTAGTCTAAGAGGTGCACTCCAACGACCCTTAACGTTCAATGAACA